AACATATATGAAGCCCATCTCTGCACAGCTGGTCTCAGGGATTGGAGTCCCAAGCACATCAGAGGGAAAACACCACCCACATGAAAATTTACCTGTCCCCCAGATTCCAGGAACCCCCTAAACGCATCTACAGATGTTGCAAAAGTATTACTTCTTAAATCCCCTCTGCTTTTGGACCCAGCTGAGGGCAGTTCAGCCAGGAAGGTAGGTGGGCAGAGGGAGGGAGTTCCAGGAGAATGCAGGGAGGAGAGAAGTCACCCAGGGATCTATGCCCTGTGTGCCGGGCGTGGCAGGAGAATGGGCGAGTGCCCTGATATTTTACTGCTGGTGCCTGGTCACTTTCACTGTCCCTCCATCGGATACGTCACTGATCACTTCTCCTTGAGGCACTTATGCCCAGTCGTGGTGGTCATTCCTCCTGATCACGCCTTCACTGAAACGCTAGCAGTGGGTTTGTGCCCATCTCTAATTATGCAGCCTGGGACCTCAGCGCCTTGTCACGACCCAGCTGCCCCCCGGCCTCTCGGGCTCCGGGCTCCTCTCCTCCTGTGTGTGCTTCCTGTCCCGTTTCACTCACCACCTGCTGTAACCACGCGGCCTCCTGGATCTGCCCTCAGTCTTTCCCCTCCATAACCAGCTCTTCTCTTCCTTGCATGCTTCCTCTGGTTTCAGTTTCGTCAATCCCTGGGCCTTCGGAGGCCCTCCACTCAGGAAATCAAGTCTGGGTCACCTCCCATTTCATTAGGATGATTCCCTCACTCTCCCAGCTGCCGGCAGCCTCCCCCTGTCCCCTTGTCCTGCACAGCATCCTGTGGAAGGCAGCGCTCTGGTCACCTCCACCTACAACCGTGTGGCTAAACGTGACTCGAGGAAAACTGCAGCCGTGCTCTGTGGCCTCGCTCTAAATTGTGGACCACCCACCTGGGCACATCGGCCCTACTCTCCTGGCCTGCTCCTGTGTGCATCCTCCTGGATAACCGCACCAGCCTCCTTCCAACCTCCACCCACCTTTTCAGTCTAAGCTAGTGCTCTAGCTTTAACAGTGGTTAGAATAGCCCCTCGTTAATTCCCAATCCTAGGCCTTACACACCTACGCACATCTGTTACTGTGACTTTCCTTCTGTTTTGAAGGACAAACCCGTGCTCCTGCCTGAGGCCTGTTCCCCTTCTGCCCCGAGTGCAAACCCCATGTCCTTCTCACAGCTTTACTGCTATAATTATCATCTCTCTCCAGCCACAATTCTCTCCACTGAGCCATCTCATCACCACTTAAATATATAGCAGTATCTCCTATAAATTAACTCTTCTGAGACGCCCCATATGCTGTTCCAGTTTTAATTTTATTTATATGTTTCCCTGATGCCTAAAGCATCTTCCCGGGTTCAGTGAAACAGATCTAACTGCCACCACGCAGCAGAAACCACCTTTATCCAGGCCACAGGTGACGCCTGGGTTGCATTCAGCAGCCTCTGCTCATGCGCCCTGCAGCTCCCTCTCCCCACCTCATGTGCAGGTGTCCTCTGTCCTCTCAAAGCTCTTTCTGCACTGGCCTTTGAGAGGCTGCCTCTGCTGGTCTCCGCCCATTCACCTGCTCTGTCACGGACATGGCCCGTCCTTGCCTGTCCTTGCCACCTCCCCTCTGGAGTGTCCCAAGGGTCAGAGCTCAGAGCTTGTGTCTCTCCTTCCTGGGTTTTCTTCCTCGTTTCCTCATCTCACTCCAGGGCTTGACACTCCAGGTGCCCTCATGGTGTGCATGTTTCCCTGTCCAGCCCCTTCTTCCCTTCTGACCTCCAACTTTGAAAACACTACTGATCTTTCTACGCTCCAGCTCCTTATTTCATAGCTAGGAGCTCCACGCTCCTTATTTCATTGTAGTATTTTAAGGCTGTTGTTTATTTGCTGCTTGCCATGAATCTGCTTGTGCACTTCCTCTCCATCGCCCTCTTTTCCGTAAATGACACCATCACTAATGTCATTTCTGAGGTCAAAAACCAGGGCATCTTTCTCACCCCTATCCTACTGTGATGTGAACTCTTTGGACTGAATGATTTTCCTGGACCCCCACCAATTTCTGCCCAAAAGTGCACTGAAATACTACATACCAGTACTTGAGAATGTGATGTCATTAGGTTGGAAGATTGTAGATGTAATTAGTGAGGGTGATGTCATATTAGAGTTGAGTGGAAGCTTATTCAGATGTGAGTGGTGTCCCTATGAGATGTTGGTGACAGGTGGGGAGAAGGCCACTTGACATCAAAGGCAGAGGTAGAATTTATACAGCTGCAAAAAAATAATGCCAAAAATCTTTAAACAGGATCTTTTCATGACCAAGGGGTCAAGCCATCAGGGACACACAACAATTACAAACATACATGCATTTAACAACAGATAAGGCTTCCATTTTTCTTCTTGCAAGCCAACAGTAAGTGACATGTTCAACTTCCTGGGGAGTGTGCTGTAAGTCCATGCTAACTAGATGCTAGGTGTCTTAGTTACTTTTCCCTTTATTGAGGAAAAATATACAACACTCAGTGTTAAAGGAGAAAAGTTTATTTTGGTTCCTAGTTTGTAGAGGTTTCAGTTTCTCCCTGGCTGGCTCCAAGGCAGGTTCCAATGGCAGAAGAGCATGGGAGAGGAGAAATGGTCCATGGCAAGTAGGCAGGCAGTCACATTAGCCTTCTTTCTGCCCCTTATATTTTATCCAGCCTATGAGTTCAATCGCTGGTATCAAAATCCAGACCAACGCTAGGGCAGGTATAGCACTCATACCCGAATCCTAGCTAAAACTATGCCAAGCCAGTGAGTAGGCTGATTTAGTAATCACATACTCTATCTCAGGACCACACACTCTAAATCCAGCCATCTTTAACAAGCCCCCACCATGACTGTATGAGGCTTTGAGACATATCTACGGATAAGTCACAACATTCTGTCCCTGCTTGCCCCCCCCCCAAAAAAAACCTCATGGATGCCTCTTTGTGCAAAAGGCATTGAATCTATCTCTAAAAGGTTCCAAAATCCTAACACTTTCAGCATTTCTGAAAAGTTCAAGTCCAAAGTCTCCTCTATGTTTTACAGCAAACTCAAAGCTGTAAGACCCTGTACAAATGAAAAGAATGTTAAACACTTCTAACACTCAGTGGTACAGGACAGACATTTCCATTCCCAAAGGTAGAGATGCAGGATACAAAAGAGTGAGACCAAAGCAAGTCCAAAAAGTTCGGGTGGTTCTGCCCCTGTGACACTGCTGGTGGTTGTAGCTCTCTTGTCTTCTCTTTTGGGTTGACTCCCTTCTTGCTCTTTTCCTCAGATGATCCATGTTCCTGGCTTCCCCAAACTTCCACAGTTTCCACTGCACCTCTGGCTTCACATTCATAGCTTCACATGCTGCCGTCTTAGGGTCACACTGCCCAGCCTCCCAGACTTCCTTCTGAACTCTGGATGGAAGACTTTCTGACCCCACAACTCTTGCATTTTGCATGCACCTAAAACCAGCACCACGTGGATGATGCCAGTGTCTATCTACCGCCAACTGAATTGGTAGCCAGGTTTCCTTCTCTCTTGACTGTAACGGTTGAGAGGCTGAATTTCTAGGCACTCTGAAATCCTGAGGAACACATTCCCTAGGCTGCCACCATTCTGGAATGTGCTGCTCTGTGGCTTGCTTCTCAAAACAAAGCCTGAAAGGCTGTAGTTCTGCTAGTTTTTGTGATGTTCTTAGGCTATTTTTTTTTTGTTGTTGTTGTTGCATTCTTCTGAAATACTTGACTTTTTCTCACTAGTCTTTTCAGAGACCAATTTCCTCCTCTATTCCATCTTTGCAGGCTACAACTTCACTGGAGATTCCTTTCTAGCAAAGCTCACATTTTTAGTCATTCTTTTGGGCTCTTTGCTCTTGATTTTCAACATAACTCTGGCTAAAACCTCTAACAGAAATCACGCCACTGTCTTAACAGTAGACAGATTGAAATTTCTTCTGCAAGATTAATTAATCCACTGCCCTTAATCTCAGTTTAAGGCAAAGTCTCTGGACACTAGCAAAATGCAGACAAGCTTTCTGCCAAGCCATAATACATATCATCTGGATTCCAACAACCAGTACAACCCTTCTTACCAGCAGAAACCTCTTGAGCCTGGTCTTTTAGGACCATTTCTATCAGCATTCTGGAATTCTGAGCTCTGACTAGCATCTCCCATCAAGTATAACCTCAAGCTGCTTTTTCAGCTGGCATCTCTGAACCTTTCCAAGCTCTTACCACAAGCCATTCCCACAGGCTCCTGAACCGCATGGTCAGGTACAGTTACAGTAATGATCCCACTTCTAGTAACAAATTCTGCCTTAATTAATTTTCTCATTGCTGAAATAAAATACTCGCCACCCAAAGTTAAAGGAGGAAAGGTCTGCTTTGGCTCATACTTTGTAGGATTTTCAATCCATAGTCTTCTGGCTCCAACGTAGAAGGGCATAACAGAATGGGACAAATATCCATGGAGGAAAGAAGTTGGCAGGCCCCTCTATATGACTTCTAAGTGTATTTGGGTAGGTCATGGGCTCAAGAAGACACCTTGAGGACTCTGCATTTGCTTCCTGGCCACTGTAAGGTGAACAGCTTTCACCCACTGAGTCCTCCTGCCGTGATGTTCTAGCCCTGGATGCAGCTGACCATGGGCCTCTAAAACTCGGAAAACAGTGTTCTCCTCCTTTAAATTGCAAGCACCAGGTGTTTTGTCTTAGCAAGGGAAAGCTGATTAATATAATTAGTTTGCTACTCAAGCATAGATAACTGAGCAAGTACATATGACAGTTCATTTGCTAGCCCTACTACTTTTGTTTGTAGGCAAACTATATTTTAAGGCAGGAAAAATTACTAAAGTAGGACATTTTATAAGAAAGAGAACACATGTATGCTAAAAATTATTCTTGTTTATCGTAAATGCAATTAAGCATAGTTTATTTTTATTTACTATATAATGGCAAGCCTATGTGTATTAGAAAACAACACAATCATGTTTATCTAAGTTATATATGTAAAACAATATATTCCTAAACATGTAGACTATTCATGCTATTGAAATATATAAAGTATGTTATCTAAGTAAAATATATTACCTAGTTATTACATAAAATAACTAAAATCTTGCAAACATCTGGACATAAAGAAAAATACCTAAAATAATATCTAAGTAATTTAATCATAAAATTCAGAATTTGAACTTGGTTATAGCTTTTAAAGGTGACATCAAAATTACAAAATTTAGCTAAAATCATTCTTAGAGTTCAATTTATGACCTTAATGTCCATACCATAAAAGAAGAAAGAGTAATTGTTTTGCACAGCCATCTTAAGACATTTAACAAAGAATGGTAAATTAAATTCAAAGAAGGTAGGAGGGGAAAAGAAACTGTGAAGAAAAAGACCAGCATTAATAGATAAGAGGATAAACCTACAATGGAATCAACAAATATGGGTTCTTTGAAGAGACTGATAAACTGATGTGCCCTTTTGTGGCTCTACCTGTGTCTGTGCCTTCCTAACCCTTCCCCTCTTAGGGGAGCACAGGCAGTGACTTTCTTCTGAAGAGTCCAGTTGTGGAAGGAGCAGTTTTTGGCTTCAGGGCTGGAGCACACCAGACATGGTTCCTCCTGGATGTGCCACTCTGAGGAGCCTGCTGTCCTGTGCGGAGGACACTCAGGTTGCCCCTGTAGGTCTGTGGAGATTTGATGGGGCTCTGGGAACTTCCTGTTTGCTGCTCAACCGCAGGCATGGGAGTGAGCTGCTCTGGAGGCAACTCCTCGGGCTCTGCTCAAGCCTCCACCAGCCGCAGCCTCAGGTGGCCACGATGGGACCTCATGAGACTCCCAGGCCAGAACTGCCAGCTGTTCCTTTGTAGAACCCCCCAACAGGACCTGTGCGAGGTAGTAAAATCCACTGAGTTTTAGGGTAATATTTTATGCAGCAAGAAAACAAATATGGCCTCACCCCCAAGAAAAGTTGATCAAAAGTGAGAAATGCACAAGGGGGACCTCATAAAAAATCCATATATATCCAAAAAATCATAAAAGGTTGTTTGGAGTATCTATTAGAATAAACCTAAAATTTAAAAATTCCTAGAAAAACTCAGCTCCCCCTGCTCCTCAAAATAAAAAATTCACAGAAAATTCCAAGCTAAAGAATTCAAACTATTTTTTGTGATGCTAGGAAAAATATGATACAAAACCTGAAACAGACATTGCAAACAAAGATCAAATGTAGACAAATCTCTATGAATGCACAGGCAAGATATAGCAATCCAAGCACAATGACATATAGAAAGGATGACTTTTTATTCCAGTAATGCATGGTAGACTTGATATTCAAAAATCACTTATTATAATTGATCATTTTAGCAGATTAAAGGAGAATAATAATATGATCACATCAGCATATGAAGAGAGACACAATGAAATTCAATATCTATTCATGTTTTTAAAAACTAGCAATTGAAGAGAACTTCTTAAATCTGATAGAAAGCACACAGAGGACATTATACATAGTGGATGTTTCCCCTGAGACTAGGAATGTATACAGAGTGCCTGCTACCATTACTGTTATTCAACACTGCTCTGGAGTATCTAAACAGTCACTAAAGGAAAAAATAAAGGAATTAAAATGGAATAGAACAACTGTCTCATGATCTTAGAAGAAAACCCAAAGGAAAACTCACACAGTTTTATAGAACTAACAGTGTGCTCAGCCCAGAACCTCCCTGTTCTCTGTGTCCAGACTGGGGCTCCCAGAGCTGCCTCTCTAGGGAGCCTGAAGATTACCAGAGAGACAAAGAGTCAAAAGACCATACTTGGCTCTGCAAGTTTATGCTCAGATGTGACCCCCATCATGTGCCAATGCACGTCACCAGTCGAAGCATGCCATTGTGGCAGGAGACAGGAGACCAGGACTTTGGGAAATAGCAAATTCCCAATGGAATTCAGTGGAAACTTGTCAGAGTGGACTCACCAAAACAACACGCACGCTCCTGTCTTCCTCTGTGCATGTGGTTCCTTATGCTCTGCAATGAACTCCTCCCATTTCCCACGCATTTGCTAAGGTCCGCCACACATAAAACCTCACGTGAGTATTTATTGGAAACAAGGGAAAGAAGATGCTACGTTTTGGATACGATTTGAGAAGGTTCCCCAGAGGTTCCTGTGAAGGAGACCCGGTGAGGGCGGGAGGAGGAGTTGGAGGGGGTTTGTCATAGACAGATCACAGAGCTCCACCTCAGGAGGAACAGTGTGGGTCCACCGGGCTGGTTGGCTCCTGTGAGAGGAGGTATTTTGCAAAGCAAACTTGGCCTCAGACTCCCTCTCATGCTTCCTGCCTTCACATGTGATCTCTGGATATGTGTCCACCATGTTTTGAGGCAGCCCAAGACCCTCGACAGACTGAGCAGACACTGGTGCCAGGCACTGGACCTATAGACTGTGAGTGAAGCAAGTGGACGTAACCAGCCTCGGGGGTTTTCTTGTAGCACTAGAAAACAAACTAAGACAGCAGACCGATGTGCTTATGGGTCAAGGGAGAGCAGAAAGAGGCCACCACAGGAGGAAGACACTCATGTAAACAAAAGCTCAACAGAAACAGCAAATGACAGCCAGAAGTGACAGAGAATGCAGGGCTCTGGGAGCATCCAAAACCCTGGAGAAGGGCATTGGAATTCCAGTAGGCATCAGACAAGAAAGCAAGATAATTTGCTCTAAATTTCAACACTCTTAGCTAAGATTAGGCTGCATCTGTGAGAAGCGTGCACTCGTTTACCACTAGAAACTGATTAGCAAATATTGTGATTGTCTACGGCTGAACACTCAGTAGTGTGTTCCGCTGAGTTCTTCTTGGATTTGGCGTGAATTTTTTCTGAGAAATCATTAAAACATTTGTGTCAATCACACTCAAAATTCATGCAACATAAGCACAAATAAACAAGGGGGACTCTGTCAAACTAAGAGGTTTCTGTCCAGAAACAAATAAACAGCAAAATGAAAAGGCAGACTGTGGGCTAGGAGAAATTATTTATGAATCATGTGTCTGATAAGGGTTCAATGTCCAAAATGTATAAAGAAGTCACACAACTTAATAACATGAAATAGCCTGGTTAAAAGTGAGCAAATATCTGAACAGATATTTCTCCAAAGAAGATTTGAAAATGGCTAAAATGTATATTAAAAAGATGCTGAACATCACCAAGCATCAAGGAAATGCAAATTAAAACCAAGATGAGATGCCACTTCATACCAGTAAGTACAGCTATTATTGAGAAGATGAGGAAGATCACAGAAGTGAAGCAAGGGGCAACTTGTTCCCTGTGGGTGAGAGTGCAATTGGCACCACCATTACGGAAAACACCACCTCAAAAATCATTAAAATTAGAACTGCTCCATGATTCATAAACCCCCGCGGAAATGAAATCTGATCAGCTCAAGATGTCTGCATCGTGACTCACTGAGGGGTTACTCACAATAGCCAAGATGTAGACACAACATCAGTGTTCACTGGTGGACAAATGAATACGAAATTCCAGGGTATACGAGCACATAGCCCAGATATAACAATGGAATAATCTATTCTAATTATTATATAAATATATGTTCATTATAATTATCATATAAAATATATGTTCAATATATGGTTCTGGAATATGTGTAATAGATTTGCACGACAGCTATAATAAAGCATCACTCAACCTGTAAGAAAGTGACTCCACTGTGTGCGACCTTGTAGATAAAGTGAAGGACGTTATGCTAAGTGAAATAAATCAGACACAGAAAAAAAGTTACGTGATCTTACTTATATGGAGACCTAAAAAAGCCAAATACCTAGAAGCAGAGAGCTTTGAAGAGGGGTGTGGCGGGCAGGGAAGGGAGCTGTTGGCCAAAGTGTACAAAATGGCATGAGTACAAACACAATAGTAGCTATGTAAGGAGATGAATGTTAAATTGACTGACTGTAATGATAATTTCACAAATTATGTGCATGTCAAGACATCATGCTGAGGCCAGGTATGGTAGCATGTCCTGAATCCCAGCTACTTGGGAGGCAGAGGCGGGAGAATCAAAAGTTTGAGGCCCAGATGGGCAACATGGCAACACCCAGTCTCCAACTGAACAACATGGAGAGACCCTGCCTCAAAACAAAACAAAAAAGCAAAACATGTTATATGCACCTTAAATATATCAATGAAAATCAAACTTTTAAAAAGGGAATCATATATTCTGGTTTCTCTTGAGATTGTATAAATCTTTCACCTTTTAAAAAAGGAATCATTAAAGAATCTTAACACATGTATTTTGCAATGGGCCTTTCTTAGCAAATTTTTTAAAATGAGTTAATAAACAGTATTCAGCACTTTAAATTATCTGGATCCCCTAAAATATAAAGGTAGAGATTTTGATGATAAATGCAAGAAATTATTTAAAAATGGGGGTGTGAGTAAAGACTCAGCCCAGAGTCACTTCCCTGTGTGAGCCCTAAAACATGCCATCTTTCAGGACAGCAGCAGGAACTGTGCTCCGGTAGAAACTGAAGTGTGACATGTAAAATGTGTTCAAAAATAGAAGGCCAATCCGAATGAGGTGGCACAGGTCTACACAAACTCCTTGCCATCTAGAGTGTATATTTGCTTTAGCTATGAGAAATCAGGTCAACCAATCTCAAAATGAAACTCAAAGAAACTAAGTTTTCTGAGTAACTAAGTAACTGAGTTTCTAAGTAACTGTGATATCAAACATGTGTTACATGTACAGTGCCTTTGAGTTCCACGTTCTGTGCATGTCCACTCACCTCTCATATGCAGTCCAGCTGGACAGAAGAAAATACCAGGTTAGGTTAGCAGTGTTCCATCCGTGTGTGTGTGTGTGTGTGTGTGTGTGTGTGAGAGAGAGAGAGAGAGAGAGAGAGAGAGAGAGAGAGAGAGAGAGAGAGACTCTGAAACAGACCTTAAATCCAGAGTCTGCAGACAGATCACCTGTTTAGGAGATGACTTCCAGGAAAGGTCAGTGTGAGAACTAGGGAGCGTGACAGCCAATCAAGGGTCCTTTCTTAAGCCAAACCTTGTGTAGGATATCTAGAGCTTGATCTAATGAGGTGCCCTGGGGCCAGTGTGGACCACGCTTGTAAGTTATCCCCAAAGAGGGAACATGCACCCAGATGCTCTCTTCACTAGCTAAGGGTCCTTGAAGGAGGTCCTGATGCTCCAGGATTCTAGGCTGCTGCAGGCTCTGTCACCAGCACCTGGTGGGGACAGGGAGCAGCAGACGTAGCAGATGGATGCCAGTGGTGGCCGGAGCCGCGTGCTGAGTGCTAAATGCCGGTGATCCCTTTGCTGTCTGCCTGGCAGGACCCATTGTGGCCCTCATATTCTAGTGTTTGTTGAAAGAGTTTTGTACAGATTTTGGTGGCAGGTAAGAAGCCATACTCACGAGTCTCTTGATGCCGTAGTTCCTCTTATCCTCCCTTTGGTGTTATCCTGCTTCACATCCTGATATTTGTTGTTTTGTGCCCCAAAAGGTTTGGGAAAAGATTCAGCAAACAAAGTAGGACAGGGGCCAAAGTGATCACAGTGCCTTAGCTCCCGATCAGTGCTGGGGAAGGTGCCCACGTGGAGTATCCACATAGCTGAGCACAGCTGTGAGCCGCTCCAATCTGCACCAGGCCTCATCTCCCTCAGAGAGCCCCGAAGGTGAAACTGTGTGGCTGTAGCAAGCATCTGAGCAGGTCTGCATGGCTCTGTCTTCCCATCGTACTCTGTTTTTGAACAGCATTGAAGCCAGAAAGCTCCAGTCATTAACTTCCACGAGTCTGCCAGTGGCCCTCCCTGCTCTTCAGAGCCAGCAAGGGGTGCACACCAAGCCTGCAAATAGTTTGAAAAGCCAAAATCAGCAGGGATCAGTCTAAGACAATGATTCTCATCCAGGGGTGAATCATTTCCAGGAGCTGGTTAGCAACATGACGAGAGATCTTTGGTTGTTGTGACCAGTGAGTGGATGCTCCTGGTATTTAGCATGTAGAACCCAGGGCTGCTGCCTACCCGCCCGCAGAGCCCAGGGCCATGCACAGCACACACCCTCACTCAGAAGCACAGCACTGCTGAGCACAGGCTGGTCAGATGCCAGGAGATGGCTCTGCGGGAAATAGTGAGCGGGACCCTTGGGCAGCCCCTCTGGAATTCTAACTCCACCCCTCCGGTGCCAGCTGCTCCTCACAGATGCTTCTCTTACCTGGTCCTGAACAGTAACTTCTGCAACAGCCCTGCTGTAGTCTCGAGCTCACTCTGTATTTGCTCCGCTCTCAGAACTTACCTCTCAGAACCTTTCCCCAGATCGTCCTTTTCTCGCTTCCATCCACCTCCCTTTATTCAACTCCAGAGCTTCGCTGAGAACGCATCCTGTCACCCAGCACAAACCTTCCTGTCCCTGACTGTGGAGCAGAGTAGCTAGCAAGGAGCCTTTTCAGCTCTAGCTTGATCTCCCCACAGTGCTAATGCTGCAGAAAGCTGCTCTGAGTGCACTCCAATTGCCTGGCTGAACGCAATGGGATTCTGGGCTCTGAGCCCCACCTCTGACAGTGGCAGCCTTGCTTCCAGGACCAATGCCACCCTATATAGATAAGACTGAGGCACCCCAAGCCCATGGGGCTCATGGGGAACTCCTTGTGACAGTAACTGCCCCACATGGTCAGCCCTAAATCCGGGGTGGACAAGCATCCTGGTTGGCAGTGAAAGCTCAGGACAGTTGGCTCAGGAAAGTCCTGACGTCCTCCCTCTTGAGAACTAGAGCCCTGGAAGACCTGGGGCTGTGGTCTCAGTGGGACCCCTGATCTCACCAGCTGAATTCAGAGTACAGTTTTTCCCTGGTGCTGCATAGTCACTTCTTGATCTGGATCTGGAAGTCTCAGAAATGCAGACTTGACAGTTCAGTGCAGGTAGCCTGCAAGGAGCCTTTTCAGCTCTAGCTGAGCACATGCTGGTCAGATGCCAGGAGATGGTTCTGCTGGAAATAGTGAGCAGGACCCAGCAGGCATCCTAGGAACACTGAAACACACACTTCCCACTTTGCTGAGTGAAAGAGAATGGGCAGCCCCAACCCTGAAGAGTTTGCAAAGACAAGACCATCTACCAGGTGGGGAGGCACAGGAGGAGCAATCGGGGAAGACGTTGGAAACGCCAGTGCCTGAAAGCAGAGCCTCAAAGAATGGAGACGTTTGAAAGGCAGCAGAGGAGATTTGGGGTAAATGTTCCAGGTCAGTGAAATGACAGGAAGTAAATACATCAAAGTTTTTGGCAACACTTACTAAGATGTAGGAGAGATATGTGATTCCCTTTGACCACTAAATGAAAATACTGCTATGTAATTACAACGCACGCTTATAATGTTTTGAAACACATCTGTGTCTACTACCAATCACCTCTACTTGAGGGTAACAAAACGGGGGTTATTCCAATTTACATTTCCAGTAAGCTGGCCCCAGAGACATAAACAGTGTATGCCAATCACATCCAGTTAAACTCTCCAAAATCTGACCTTGCGGCCAGCAGCTGAGTCAGTGGGAATGTTAAGGAGCTCAGAGATGAGCAGACATTGGTAGATCCTAGGTTCTTTGCATGCTAATCCCGTGAGTGACTTTAAACAAATTACTGAGTCGCAGCTGTTTCAGGTGTGACGGGGCATCACCCTTGCCCTGACTGACTGAAGATAGAATGAGACAAGTGCTTTCTGCTGCTCAGAGATGCAAACGTGCGCCCTGATTGGGGATGTCAGAGCCGCTCACGGTGCTGCAGAAGCCTCCTGCGGATTTGCCTCCTTGTGCTCCTGAGAACTTGATTCTCAGTGTGCCCAAATTAATTCAACAGCCTTTCTGCAAGGAGGAGACGGCTGATGTGCTAATTGCGCTTGATATCACTTGTAATAATATGAGATTAAAGAGTCGGAGGTAAGATCTTAAACCTACCAGACAGACATGCTTTTGCTCCTTAGTATTTTTATATAGATTTAAACCAAGCAGCATGTAAACACTGTAATCAGTGATTCCAGATCTCACCCTCCATAATGAGTAGCTGAGCAGAGTAGGCCGGCAGCTCTGCTCCCCCCACTCACCATCCTCCTTGCTGTCCGGGGTGCTGCGCCTGTCAGGGTGGCTCCAGTTGTGCTTTATTGGGGGTCTGTGCTCCCTGGCACCATTTCCTCCCCTTTATCTGAAGAGAGGAAACAGCTCCTTCACCTGGACACAAGAGGTAGGTCCTAGGCAGCAGACGCTCTTCCTTACAGCCATCAGGAAGATGAGCTCTTGGGCACAGATCCCACACCTACCCTGCCTTGCCCTCTACGTGCCGAGGTGGCAGTGGCAGAGTGGGAGGAACACGGGTTGGCCCCGCAGTCACAGGTCAGGCCTTGACTCCTACACCATGACGATGCACATGCTTCTACTTTTTTTGATTCTTGCTCATCTTGTCTCTGAGATACAAGTGGTGATGTTCATAAGATTGCAGGAGAATTAAACACAGAAAAGTGCACACAGCACCTAGAACAGGAGTTAATCATTTAAAAAGCCCAGCGAATGTGGCAGATTAACTAGTGGTCAACTTGTAACACCCAGCTGAACCACATCAGCGTGGTGGTAGGTGTGGAAGGCCCACCTGAGGGTTGTTGCCAAGAACATAGAAGGGGAACTGGAGAGGGAGATGGTGCGCTGTTGGTTCTCCTAAAGAAGCTTGTCACACTGGTAGTCCTGACATGAACTCAGCTGTTGTCATAAGAGGAGCTCAGGTCCTCACTGTCACTGAGGATGGCTGCCATTCTCTTTGGGGGAGCATCACTTCCTGGTTCCAGTGCAGATCTCTCAGTCTTCTGGCACAGATCCCTCATCCCACTGGTGCAGATTTTCTAGTTTCCACTGCTGACCATTGAGTCTTCCCAGTGCAGATCCTTCATACTGACTTGCATGAGTCATTGTTGTGGATCTAGGCCTCTAGCTCAGCTCCTGGAGGACAGGATGTTTCCATGGGATGCAGGCCCTCAGCTGGATACTTGGGTCTCTAGTGTGTGGACAGATCTTCTGTCACACTCTTTTGCATTTGACTCTTTGTGTGAATATTGTAAAATAATCCTATAAATTATGTGTCCTGTATTAAATCTTTTCCTTTGTAAACCCTGACTACATTTCCTCACCCCATGACCATTAGCTCCAAACTCAGCCTCTGCTTTCAGGACCTCTGTGGAAAGCCACTCTCATCCATTTCATTGATGATGGTATGTTCATCTGGATAGATGCACAAGGAGCAACCAATCACACGAATACTCAAGGGTAGATATCGAAGTTCAAGACCAAGGACTTGCCACATCACATGTACCGGCATGCTGTCCACTGGTCAGAGAGTGAGCTGGGACATTTTCTCCAGTGTAAGGCTGAGTTGCTGTAACTTTCACCGCTGTGTCAAAGCAGGAGCCCAAGACCTATGTATGGGCTTCTTCCAGGTCTGCTCTGCAAAGGAATCCTGGTGCGGAAGGGGTTTGGCACCAAGTCCTCTGGTTGCCTGTACCTTGTCACCTAGGCTGCCAGTCAAAGGGGCACAGAAGCAGCATGCTGAACTTCTGGCTGAGGAGCCAGTCCCAGAGGCCGCACAGGGGCCAATCCACAGGTATAACACCCACATGCATCAAACATCTTCGATGAGTGAATCCCTGGAAGGAAATACCCAGGATCCAGAAACTGAGGCTTGGAAGCAGGGTCCCCACTTGCTATTGACCCCTGGTGATCCACAGGTAAGCTTTATACTCCCCACCCCCATGAGGTGGGTTCTGCAGGGCTCTGGTCTTCAGGATTGTGGGTGCTGGTCCCTAGAGGGACACACTTTCTTCAGGGGACCTTGTAGGGCTTCCACTGAGTTATGTGGTACCATTGCTGCCTGGGCCTGGGCCTTTTGTGTCTAGAAGTCAGCAGTAAGAAGAAAAATGATGTGCCAGCAAAGTGCTTCAGGAGGAGGTGAGCTGATATTTGCAGTGGGCCCAGGGAACAGTTGTATAGTCCAGGGGAACTTCTGGGTCCCTCTAGATAATTGCAACTATTTAGGCACAAGTGCCATAAGCCCAGAGAGAGAGAGGCATGGGGACAAGGGACTTAGGGCCTCTGGGGGTGAGGTTCTGGATCTCTAACAGGAAAAATGCCAGGTCTCTTAGTTACTTTCTCATTGCTGAGACAAAATACCTGACACTCACAAGTTAAAGAAGAGGTTCGTTTCAGCTCACAATTTGTAGAGGTTTCAGTCTGTAACTGGCACATCAGAGGGGCACTGCAGAGAAACAACCATGGCAGGGTTGGCAGGAGGCAGTCAAGCAGAAAGCCTCCTGTCTTCTTTCCTTTTCATCACTTATCCTGGCTATAAACCTAGCCTTTGGTGCCACCTACACCCAGATTGGAGCTTTCCATTATCCGTACCCAGAACTATGCTAAACCAATCAGTGTATTGATCCAATATCACACACCCTTAGTCCCAGTATCACATATCCACTATCCAGCCACCTCCCAAAAGCCCCACCTAGAGGGTCTGAGGCTTTGGGTGGACATCTAGATAGAAGCCATGACACAGGGTTCTAGGGAGTGGTAGGGGAGGAGGACCTGAGACACACAGTGGAGCAGGGAACAATGGTGTCCCCAGGATCTGAAGAATGACCCAGTGACAGGAGCTGTGTCTCACCTCACCAGTCTGCCTTTCCTGGGTTTCTGAGGATGCAAGACCATCCAGAATCCTGGCCAGCTGCTTCCTGTGCAGCTGTGGCAACACTGACCAGGCCCCTCCCAGATGAGTTCCTCAAGATATCCCTCTGCTGAGGACCAACCCCTCCATTTCCTGGAGCAGCCACACTAGGTGGTCAGGTGCCAGGGAAGGGGTGGGGTCATTTTCACCCTCCTGCATGTGCAGAACCTGGATTTTCTGTTAGCTTGTCTTTGTCCCATACCTCACCACCTTCTGCCTGCTGGTGACCATCCCAAACCAACTCCTATTTTGGTTACTTTCCTCTCATTGCTGGGACAAAATACCCAACACCCAAAGTTAAGGAAGAAAAGTTTATTTTGCTCACAGTTTTTAGGGGTTTCAGTCCCTAATCAGCTTGCTCCAAGGCAGAGTGTATCATTGCAGAGGGGCACAGTTCAAAGCAGCAGAAGACAGCAAAAGCCACAAGAGCAAAAGGGAGAGAAGCAAGTCTCTTTTACTCCCTTACATTATAAGCGGGCTATCTACCCTCAGCAAGTGCAGCACTCAATTTCCAATCCCAGCACTAGACAATGAATCAATCACAAACTCTAGATTCAGCTGCCTCTGAAAAGCCCACCCCCATGACTACATTAGGCTTTGGGGGGACATCCAGACATAAGCCATAACAACGCCACTCCTGAGTCTGCTTCCCAGCCTATCACCAGGTTTGGAGCAAAGGCTGCTTGTGGAGATCTGGCACTGTCTCCACCCATTTGGGTTGCAAAATAGATACACCAGAGATGGGATGCCTCAAAGAGCAAATGGAAAATGTCCCCCAGTTCTAAGGTAAGGACATCATAACAAGGGGACCCTAGACATCATCTGGTTCAGGGCCACCTTGCTGTGCCTTTCCATCCATCCCCATCCCTGGTGCTGAATGAGAGCGCTCATGGGACCCCTGCAGTAAGGACACTAATCTCAGTGGAGAGGTTCCACCCGTGATACCCAGCCACCACGAGGGCCTTGCCACCTCTACCCATCACCCTGGAGTTAAGGTGCAGCCTGTGACCTGGGAGACAGGAACAACCTGTATCACAAAGAGAGAGGCTGAGGAGAGACCATTCCAAACTTTGGTCCCTCTGTGCTTTTCTGGGAAAGTTCAGAGGTTGGGAAAGATCAAAGTGTAAACTCAGTTTTGGGGGATGGCATTCACCCTGGAGCATTAGTGGCAGGAGGGCACACCCCAACATGCCATGATGTCACTCCTTGTGTTCCCCATCAGAGTTCTGGAAAAAATTGACAGAATGGGTAACAAGTAAAGCTGATGTGGGTGGAGAGACAGCACAAACCCAGAATGGTGCTGCACCCTGTGCCATCGGCGGCTGGCATCAGCCCCACACGGGGGGGAGGAGTTAGCAGCACCTGGCACACACCACTGCCCACCCCAGACAGCCCTACCCTGTGACGCTGAACCCTGCGCACAAGGATTATCTATTCCACCCTGAAGGGCAAATCAGTCAACTCAATGAGCCAAGAAATCAGCTAATTTCACTCTTTTTGGTTAGTTTTTCAAAACATTTAATAGCTGTTGGTTGGCCCCAGTCAAGAAGCAGTTTAAGAGCTTCCTGGGTCTTTATCATAACTACTGTAACCTCTGGAAATACTTTATGAAAAATTAATAACAGCTATGCTACATTTGCAAACCTCACAGAGTAAAACTAACAATAATATTTTCTTACCTATGTTTACTAGCTTACACTTCATCAAAATCTGCACAAGGATTCTATCTTTAGCTTCGTAGCCCTTTTGCAGAATGGGAGAGAATTGACCTCCTTTAAAGATCTAGAAGCTCACAGAGTCTAAGTGATTTTCTTGAGATCATGATGATGACAGTGCCCAGCTAATTGCACTGTGCCTGGAGGAGAGACATGAAGAATGTCCTGGTCCTCGTCAGGAGCCCAGATCCCAAAGGACCCACTCGTAAGGTTTGTTTGGTTTTGTATCCTGCCCCTAAATGAACAGTTGGCCACATCGTGTGGGACTCTGGGGAGAGACGCCAAAACTGGGTAGCATCTTAGTTGTCTACAGACAGTGTTTCCTACTTGTTAATTGAAGAAATCTATAAATAAAGGAGAGGTTGGCACTGTGGGCATGTGTCACAATGTGAGAAGTATCTTTCTCACGTGAACACTTTTTGATACTTGAAAAAAACGCTACTTAGTGTACTCAACCCATCACTGCCTTTTAGCAGCTAAAAAGAGAATTGCCACAGCCTGCACCACCTAGCAGAAGAGGCAGCTGGACACAGGATGGCAATGGCCTGTGAACTCGCGAGGAGATGGGGAGGTGTCAGATTGCTGAGCCCCTAAGTGTTCCAGATGCCAGGCAGGAGGACATGGGCTTCAGAAACATTTCTTTATGATTACCCTGCCTCCTGTAACCTACCTTGAAGTCCACTGCCTGGCAGATGTTTCTGAAGCAGAGGCCTGTCCTGAGGAGCAATAGTGTTTGTCTGTTAAAAACAAAACTTTCTAAAATGTCAGAACCTTGTAAAGATGCCGAGATGTATGCACGTCCTGTGAAAAAGGCATAGATACCAAACCATACGGACATTGCCACAGTGTGCTGGAGAGAAAGCACTGCTGTGTGAGGCTATGGTTCCCATAGTTTGAGGACAAAGATCGTACTCACACCCTTCCTCCCTCCTGGAACCAGACAGGCAGGAAGTCCCTCTCCAGGCTGGTGCTCCTCTGGAGGTCCAGCTTTGCTCCCAAATGGTCTCTTCTGCACTTTGGATTCTTGTCTCAAACTCTC